GTGTGTGTGTGTGTGTGTGTGTGTGTGTGTGTGTGTGTGTGTGTGTGTGTGTGTGTTTGTTTGTGCATGTGTGTGTGAGTGTGTGTGTGTGTGTGTGAATGTGTGTGTGCGTGTGAACGTGCGTGGGTGAATGTTTGTGAACGTGTGCGTGTGAATGTGAATGTGTATGTGTGAATGTGTGTGTTTTGTGTGTGTGAATGTGTGTGTGTGTGTCTGTGTGTGTCTCTGTGTCTGTGTGCGTGTGTGTAAGTAAGTCAGTAAGTAAGTAAGTAAGTAAGTAGGTAGGTAGGTGAGTAAGTAAGTAAGCCTTGGTTCTTAGCTAAAGGTTATTGGGCTTGCGATGGACATGTTCGAGCACGGGGCACAGGCCCGTGGTGGTACCTGTGCCAACGAAGCTATCCACCATGGGGGAATGCTATGGAGCGAAAGTGATTCTGCACGGTTGCTGTAATCTGTTCTACGTCGTCAGGTTCCGAAGATGCACTAAGGAATTACAGGTCCTGGAAGTAGCAGCAGAATGCTTTCTACCACTTTACATCCACCGTCTCCGTGTGTGTTTATTCACTCGCGCACTGCTGGCTTGCTGGCTCGCTTGCTTGCTCGCTAACGCGCTTGATTGTGTGCTTTACTTGTTGGATCTTGTTTGGCTTGTGTGTTCCTTGTTTATTTGTTAGTTTGCTTGTTTGAGGCTGTGCATGTGCAGGATTGGCGAGCTCTTGGATCGCATACTTCTCGATTTTGGCCGATGGGTTGGTTTGTCATATGTGATGGCACCAGAAGCCAACTGCTGCACAAGCTTCTGACAGCACTCCGCGACGTCGCATGTCTGCGTAAACATCAAAGGCCTCTTCCAGTCTTCCAGCCCGCTGTGCCCGTCTCAGCATTGCATTGCAAACCTGAAACTTCGAGAGGAGAGGCGGTGTTCAGCTTCACATGCACTCACCAGAATCAGTACCAAACCACGTGCCAAAGAGTCCGTCGGGACGAGTTGCGGGGAGCTCTGGGGTAGACAACTGCCGAAAGGCAGCTGCCGCAACGTCCCACTTCCTGAGACTTATCGGATGGAGCTCAAGGTCGTCAGGGTTCATGGTGAGTCGAGTGGAGTACTCTTGGTTCTTACGCATGCTTGCCTGCACTGACTGCATTTGCGGCAAGACGGTCAAAGTCTGCGCCGAGGTTCCTGCAGGTTTTAATTTCTTCCAGCACGGCCTGCTGCGCAGGGCAAGAGCATTGCTCCGCGGATTCCTCCTCTGCAGCCTGGCCGATTTCTGCTGATGTGGAGCGTTGGGTTGAACAGCACATCTTCCTCTCCTGCCTCTCCATCACTGCGTGATTGTATCCTCATTTGCAACCTGGGCGCTGCAACAAGGGCACAGCCAGCCAGTAATGCGAGAAGCAGGATTCCATTATCATGGTTCATGCAAGTTGCCGATTCAATTTTACTCTGGAGATCGGGCTCACGTACTTGGCTGACTCAGAGAAATGCCGCACACCGTAGGTCCTGATCATGCTCGATCAAATGCAAGAACCAATTGGGAGCTGTATTGTAGGTGCTCTGTAGACTGCTTGCCATCCCGAATCACTATGCAGAGCAGTTTGAGTAGCGGCTAGCCTGGACAACATTCACAAGTTGCGACAATAAACTCGGAAGTGATTTGCGGATGCTGCAGCTCCACGGCTTGAGGAGTTCGCTGGTTTTGCACGCTCATCAAAGATGGGATGGTGTTGGTTAAGGTTAACCAACAGTCGCAGGTACGCACACTCATGGGTTCTGCAGCTGATGTGCACCCCACAGATCGCTATTAATGTGGTGAACACGTCCCGGAAATCCATTTGATAATTGAAATGCCGCTTGGCAGAACCAGATTGATCAAGCTTGCACCTTCCATGAATGCCGGGTCCTGGGATGCAGCGCCTGTGCACTTAGTATTCTTGCAGCTCTCGTAAGCACTTCCATGGCGGCCGCACTGGGAAAGCCAAAACTGTCTGAAACTTCTTCTCGGAGACATCAACAGGTGGCTTCTGCAAGCTCTTGCAGCAACATGACCAAAGGTAATTTGCACCTTGCTAGAACTTGACTCGGACTGGGAAGGCTGCCCGCCAACACTTGCGGCTCGTGCAGCTTCAAAGGAGACCTCATCCATTCCAGAGAGTCGTCTTGTCCAAAGCGTGGAGACTGTTGGAGGTTCCGTGCATGGAGAATCAACAGCGTACAACAATTTCAGCACACACACACACACACTCGAAGCCAAAATCGGTCTGCCTCTGCCATAGCCCATTGCGCAAGCTATCGCTCTGACTTGTGTCATGCATAAGGGAACAAGTTGAACAACTGACTCACTCGATAATGAACTACATGAAAATTTGGTCAAAGTCTGACTGAAATATCCTTGCTGTGCACCCAGTCTCTTTTCCATGACTCGTGTCTTTGTCAAGGCTATTGCAGACTGGTGTGTGTTGAGGCAGCGTCACGGACAAGGTGATTTATATGCTCTCTCTTCTTGGCAGCATGCGAAATAAACCAAGGCATCGCAAACTCCAATCGATTCCGCTGCATCTTTTTGACGGGATCTTATCCTCCGGCTTCCGTCAGCAATGCTAACCGCAACGGACTGGTCGGCAGGATTTGACGGCCCATGGTGTTCCTCAAATCACATGTGATTTGTCATTGATATCATGTGCCATAGATGCTCAGGTATCAGCAGAACTTCTTTCAGCTCTCTGTGCCGAGACATCCGCTACGGCCAGCGGGCGACCGAGGTGACATTATCGCAACTTCTTGGCTAAATGCCCCAGATCAAAATGGGCAGACACCACAAACGTCAAGCAAACATCTGGGATGGAAAAAGATACGCCATGCCCTGTGTTGCCGTGCGACTGTTTTATAAATCCATGAGACGTTAAGACTACTTGTACGCGTTCTTAGTGGAGCATGCAGGGAACACCAAGCTCGAGTCCTTAGCTTCACAAGCCGTACCAGTATGCGTCTGACAAGCATAGCAAAGCCCATCATCGCTGAGGTTTCACGTCAAGCGGCAAACTGGTATTTGAATCAGCTCGCTCAGTTCCTGCATCAGAAGAATGGCCCCAAGGCTTGCGCTAACCTGACAAAGGAGATGCGAAACTCCAAGATGCTCCGGAATTTAGGGCCGCGAGTACTGAGACCGCACCTTTGGACCCCGGATGATGGCCACCGCTTTGTTGACCAGCTCAGGTCGCGTCTGGTCAAGACGGTCGAGGAAAGAGGAAACTCTGATGGTACTGTCAGGCGCTAGTCCACTGGCCGCACCTGAAAGGTGATAGTGATGTCCGAACCCGCCATGTGCTTCAGCTCGTGAAGTCTTCCTACTAGAGCGGCTCGGGACATGCTGTCGCTCGCATGGGGCGTCGCTGTCCGCTGTCTGAGCTTCGCAAGCTTGAGCGGTCCAGCCTCCCTCGCTCGTCAGCTTCGCGACGAACTCTTTGGGAACCTGCCCAGTCGTCGCAAGTCCAACAAGGCGGCGCAGAATCAGCGCAGAAGAATCGGCGAGGTTATCCGTGAGAGGCAACCAAAGACTGAGGAAAATACACGTTTGACACACAGATGCAAGTCGAGGCACAGCCATGGTCCTCAACAACCTGGACAAAACATCCTGAATGCAAACAAATCTTTTTTCCGACGTGCGTCGTGTTTACAGACGCAGCGACAGGCACTGTCGCAGCCTACAGGCAAACTCCTTCCCGCATGAAGGCAGCCAGTCTACATTAGGACAAAAAGGTTGCCAACGGTGATCTGGGTCACCACCTTGTGCAAGATCAAGTAGACGGCTTCACCGTTCAACCCTTCTAAACAAGCGCAAACAGTTCAACAATGGCTGATCCCGGGCCCTCCGCCGGGGGCCAGGACACGGATCCAAAAAGACTGCCATGGCTGCAACAAGTCGAGCAATACAAACGGATGGACGCGGTAGTCATTCGTGGAAGCTCGACAAGAGAAGGGCCGCAGACGACGTGCAGGATAAAATCAAAAGCACCAGCAGAAAGTGCAGGATGGACCAAAATCAGACCAATACAACCAAGGCAGGGACGAAATGCTGGGCATGCAAAACAGGAAGCAAAAATTCAGGAATGCTACAACTTTTCCGAGGTGTTCCTGATTTCTGAACGGTGTTACCAGCGCAAACAGGACACATTCCTCTGCCCCTGAATTAGATGCAGGTTGAATTCATTGTGCTTGGGTTTCATTCATGTGCGTCCGACTGTACCCTGAACCGCACGTAAACAAGATGCACGTACGTATTCACGTCCGTACATCGATAATCTGTCATTGTACTTGTTTGTATGCATTTCCTTATATTCACGTGTGTATGTAGGTGTGTATACATATGTAGACATAGTCTAATGTAGAAATACAGAGAGAGAGAGAGAACATGTAAATTTCATGTCTGTGTGTGTACAGACAATCACTGGAAATGCGCCGTGGACAGGACGCAGCGATAGCCAATGACGGTAAGTATTGCAGCTGGAATCGTGACAGCCATGACGCTTCTGACAGTTGACAGCTAAGCATCTTGGCACTGTCACTGCTTTAGGGGTCGAACGTTCTGCAATGTACACTGCGTTTCTGCATTTTGCGCAGATCTGCAAAACTCGTGGCCTCCACCTCCTGCACATCCTCGTCAGGCATTGCCTTGCGATCCGGGATCTCGCGCACGGCTCTTCAGGTTGAAATACGGAGGCTCACGTTCTATGCTCCCCTTTTTGTTGAAAAGTTGACACGTTTCTCTTCGTGCACTTGCTAGACTACTGGACCTTGTGCTATAACGGGGCTGCATGAAGGCAACAAAACTTGCATCAGTTGGCCTTGCCTGATGAGGTGGCGGCGCGATTTGAGCCATCATGCTACCTGCCTTGGCAGGCGAGGCTCAGCATGCAAGAATCATTGGCTGAGTTGCTACTTTCCCTTCAAACCACAAGGCCCACGCTTGAGCGGGATGACCTGCAACTGTCCACACAGCGACAAATGCGTGACTGAGCAACTGACGCTGAGCCCGCGGCCCATGCAAGGCATGCCAGGGTGCATTCCCTGATGCATCTGCATGCCCTGATGCTGCATTCCCTGCAGCATGCCTTGCTGATGCTGCTGCTGTTGCTGCTGCTGCATGCCGTCGCCGTTTAAGTAGGTCAAACTCAGCCAGGCAGGACATCACATCGAATCACTCTTCAACTGCAACAAACAAGTTCAACTTCCAGAGATGTTCGCATGCAAAAGCGAAGGAGCTGAGGTTAGAACTCAGTGGCCTGCGGCTTGCCGTCTCTGTTGAGAAATATCTGGCACAGACCGCCCGTCCCAGAACCCGCGATGTTGCAAGGTTTAACCCCCGTGCCACACATGTAGACTCTGCAGGAAACAGACCCCCAAAACTTCAGACATGCTCATGTCACATGATCTTCTCGCGACCGCTGCCCTCCAGCGGACTTCGCTCCGAAGCTGAACAGTAACCCTCTGCGAAAGGTGAACTTCAGGAAAGCTCGTGGCACCGCGAAGGAGACGGCGTCGCCCTCCTTGAAGGCGCCCAGCTGCTTCCCGTGTAGGAACACGTCCTTCAGCTGGCCAGTTGCAAAGCAGTAGACAGGCCAGGGGTATTCACAACAACTGGGAACTAGCGCTTGAGGGTCGCAATCACCTACCTGTGAACAGTTCAGCCACCATCACGTTTCAAAATGTAGAATTCGTCTGCCTTTCCTCCGCTACGTGCCGTTCCACATGGGCCGAACCGGCAGGGGCAGCCGAAAATAGCCGTAAATGCTGGCCAATCTTAACCCGTCCTTCTCTGGGAACTTTTGCCGTAGCTCCGAGCACCTGCACAATGGCCATTCACCAGTTGATGACATGTTGTCCTTGTAAGTACGGCAAGATATAATACTCGGAATATGAGCTCATGCATATGGTGTGCCATTCGTCCCTGCCTGATAAATCCGAAGCCTTTGTCGGCCCGGTATGTTGCAATAACCCCCTCGTATCGCCGGTCCTGCAACAAACAGGCAAACAACTGGCACGGCACAACAGTCCAGCACAGCACACAAGTAACTCTATGCCGGCTGTCCGTCAAGCCGGGGACATGCCTTATCCATGCTCAGTTCATGCTGCAAGGCGAGCCATGAGTGGCCCAGTGTGCAACCGAGGCACCCCGACTGTTGCATCTCGCCTGGCCGGCTGGCAAAAAAAGTAGGGGCCGCTCTGAGCTCCGAGCTTCTTTCAAAACTCAAGCAAGAAAACAAGCTTCCTAGCTCTGCCGTCTGGGCCTTTCCCGTGCCCCGCGCCGCGCGCCCCGGGACCCCCCCAAGGCACTCCCGCCCTGGGCCGAAGCCACGCTGAACCAAGAAGACGAAAAAGTGCCTTTCTCGCTGGCACAATGCCTGCTTTGCAACCACTCGTCCCTGGTCCGGGCACAAACCGAAGTGCTTTTGCAAAGCTACAGTTGCAAAAGAGCCCTCATCTTAGACTTCGAAACTCCAATGACTCCAAGCCCAAGCACATCCTTGTTGTCTCGCGTCGCTCACGCGATCATCAGAAGGTTTTTGACTCAGGCCGGCTCAGAGATTCTCGAGCATCTCGACAGCCTCCTTCAAGTCCGTGATCTCCTGCTCACGCTGGGCCTTGCGCTCGGCGTATGATTTTCCAGTGTCGATGCAGTCGGGTCGCAGCTTTTCCAGGTAGGCATTTGCGGCCTCAAGCTCCTTTTGGGTTCCCTCCAGATCACTCTCACGGGTGCTCAGTTCCTGTGCATCAGTGTTCTTTTTCGTGGTCTTCTGCTTCAGGGTCGTCTCCTTGGCGGCCTTGTCAGCTTTGGAATCGTCCATGAACTCATCGTACTCCTTCTTGCCTGCTTCCTCTGCCGCCGTTGTCTCTGCCTCGAGCCGCGCGAAATCGCTCTCGATCACCTCCATCATGCCTAACACACCGCCGCTTTCGCCGCCCATGCCTGTGTAGGCCTCGTCGCCAAAGATCTCCGGCTGGCCTGTGACAAGGGCTGAGCTGGATTGGACAAAGGACGCACCAGCCTTGGCGTAGAAGTCTTTGAGAACTGTGAGAGCTTCAGCCACAGCGGCCTGTGCTTCCTTAGCATCCGCGACAGCGATCTTGTTCTTGGCCGCCTCCTTCTCACGAAGCTCCGTTGCACTTGCCATCCCGGCATCCAGCTCGGCAATGTCTTTGCTGAGCGTGTTGCTCTCATCGGTGAGCTTTGCAATGGAAGCCTTCAATGTGTCAATCTCCGACTGCAAAGACTCCGAGGTGTCCGTCTTCTCCTCACGTGTGGCCTTGTTGGTTGCAAGTTCCGTGACACACCAGGTGTTCTTCGTTGCCTCTTCCTTGGCTTGCTCGTTCATCTTGGTGAGGAGTTGCTGGATCATCTTTTTCACCTTGCCGAGCGGGTCGGCGCCCACACGCACTGCCAGGGCCGAGAGCACGCGGCTGTTCAGGGCAGAAGCCCGCTGCTGGAGGAAACGAGCCACCTGGTCCTTCCGATCTCCGTGGCTATCAGACCGGAGAAAGGCCAGCACGGAGCCTTGTGGAGAACGCTGCAAAAGCCCGGGCAGATGCTTCTCTGCCTTGCCAGCCACGGAGCCACTGGAGATGATTTCCTGTGCCTTGCCGACGGCCTCAATCTCCTCCTGCCGTGTCTTCTGGCGCTCGGAAAAAGCCGCGGCCTTCTTTGCGCAGGTCGCCTTCAGATCCTTTGCAAACTTCTCGTCGGCCTCCTTCTCCGCCTTGGTCTCTGCCAGGTCACCCTCTGAGGATGCCTTGCTCTGCACTTTCTTGGCCTTGAACTGCTCCTTGGAACTCTTTTCCTTCTTCGACTCACTGATCTGAACCGTCAGCTGCTGCGCCAGAAGCTCATAAGCATGCCGCTTGGCCTCAAAACAAGGATCCCTCCCAACTCTTTCAACACATCCACCCTTCAAACACGGGCAGCGACTTCATTACCCTCCCTGGGCCCTCGCCTGCTCCTCCTGCTCCAGCTTGTTGCGCTCGTCGACGAACTTGTCTGCGAGTGTTTCCAGCATCTGAATAGCCGCACCTGACTGGAACTCGTAGGTCTTCGGCTCGGGCTTCTCGGACTCGGTTGCCTCCATGATCAGGCTCGGCTTCTCGGACAAGGGCTTGGGCTTGTTCGCATTCAAGTACGCATCAATGCTGTCCACAGCCTCACTTGGCATCAGCTTGAGGCTTTTGGCGGCAGTCAGCTGCACAAAGGAAGTCTTCTTGTCCTCTTCCTTAAGAGCCTTCAAGGCACGACCGATGGCATCAATCGACTCCGTGTAGTCCTGCAGTGTGGTTTGGAACTCACCCCGCTCCTTCTCACGAAGCTCCGTTGCCTCGGTCTTCTCAGTCGTTGTAGACTCGATGTCGCTGGCGTGGGCAGCGATCTCGTTCGTCAGACGCTCCGTCTCAGAAATCGCCTGCTGAATGTCTGCCTCCAGTGTCTCGATTTTGTCAGCCGCGTCGCTGATGGAACGGCCTTTGTCTGCCAACGTCATCTCGCAGAACTGGTCAAACTTTCCGAACTGGACCTGTTCGGCTTCCATCTCCTTCTTCCCCTTGTCCTTCATGTCCTCCAGCATTTGGACTACCTTCTGGACGGGGGTGACATCTGACCTTGCGAAAAGAAAGCCAAGATTGACATCATCGGCATCGGCAAGTGCTGTTCCAGCTCTGAGTCTCTGGCGCCAAAGCAGCAGATGCTGCCACCACAAGGAGAAGGCGCTGCATTGTGAGTGGGCGAAGGGAAGTCTGAAAGTATCAACTCACACTCCCGCTCAATTCGCACCAAATCCACCGAGAATATGCATGAGACACAGAACAAAGAAGAACAACGACTAGCAGCAATCGCATCAGAAGCACACGTCGTGCACAGCAGTGCTTTTTCAACCACGGTTCAAGGCTACCGTCGCGGAATCAGCTAGCGTTGGCCAGCTCAGCCAGATAACAAACCTTCATACATTGTGACTTGGGGATGGCCCGTGAAAGAAGCCAGCGAGCCTTCGATGTGGCCGATGTGGGGAACTCGCCATGCTCCAGGAGAAGGCATGGTCAAGCCGTGGTCACCCGAAACATCCTGTCGTTCACACTTCGTATTGGCAGCTGTGACGGCACGAGCTCGCATGCATCATCCGTGCCTTGATCACATCTTGCCGCTCCGCCTGACGTGACTCGGCATCGGCTCGGGGCATGAAGAAAAATGAGCAGGAAAAAGGCGCAGATGCACCAAAAAAAAAATCACCATGTTTCATTTCAGCTTCGGGCCTTGTCCACCGCTTCATCTACCAAGACCGCCATCCAGTTCACAGAAGTCGCTCCGATCAAGTCGCGCTTCAGGGGGAAACATGTACGTTCTCAAACACTCAACTCTGCACAGTCATATGTCTTCGAAAGCCTTGTAGCTGTCTCCACAGTGCAGTGCATGCGACGACGGTGCAAGACCGGCAACTTCTAGTGCCTGCAGCTTTGCAACAGAGAGAGAGAGAGTGAGAGAGGGAGACAGAGAGAGAGAGCGAGAGCGAGGGAGCGAGGGAGCGAGAGAGCGACAGCGAGAGAGGGTCAGACACGGACATACATGCACATACACATACACATAGAGAGTTTTGTGGACACTCTGTGCAAGTACAACTGGCCACATGCACAGACTGCACAAGGGCTTAACACTAGACGATCATCCTGAATGGTTCGTGCTGAACATGCTGGCAGTACTGCAACGATGTTGCCAAGGCAACCATGCACCTCAAGGGCTAGGCCGCTAGGCCACGCAGATCAAGACGTAAACAGTCAATGATGAAAATGAACATCACCGGACCTCGACACCCCATAGATTCCAGCAGAAGGTGGCAGCACTAGCTACGAGTAAGTCAACTCTGACTTTGAAAATCGATCCCACAATGCTACAAAGCTCCTAGGACTCGTTAAAGATATTTCGCAGGGCATTGCCCCAGCTGCAAGGCATCGCATACCACATGTGGCAGTTATCGGTTTTTGCAGGTCTCACCCGTGACCTTACATCTTTTTGTTGCAACATGCTTTCCCACCGAAGTGTCTGGTGATTATTACAGTACGCGTTTGCAGAAACTGAACTGCCACCTTCGTGAAGATGATGGGGGATGGCTTTTCCTGGCAGGCCAGTCGGACTGGTCTGCGAGAACCGTGCAAGCAAGTATACGAGTATACTAGAAGTCTGCCAGCACAGCCTGTCAATGTCAGAGCACAGCCGAAATTCAGCCGGGAATCTGCTCGGGCTTCGTATGATGTCAGCACGAAGTCAAACTTGTCCAAGATTCCCAGATTTTGGAGAATGACGGAGAGCCTGCGTCGGTTTACCTAGGGCGATCCGGATACGGATACGAACTCCCTTGTTCGGGGCTTTTGCTAATTGCAGGATGGGAGTACCAAGCTGTGCCACACGCAAACAAACGCACCGATTGCAAGCGCCACGAGTTCTGCCCCGCCCCCCAGACTGTGATGTCCAAAGCGCTGTGAAGTCTAGACATGACGGTTGTGTTGCTGCAGTGGGTGCCTGTTCCCTGCACCGTAAACACTTGGGTCCTTGGTGACTTACCAAGCTCTTGGCCTACGGCCAGGCTGCAAGGGGGAGGAGTCTTTCACTCGGAGGCAGTCTTGACTTGCTTGTGCCTGTCATCCATATTCGACATCACACCCAGACGGCAGTCATGCACGGCACACCATTCGCGAAGAGATTCCTTGGGCACCAATGGAAAGCAAACGAAGCGCGGTGTACCACTCCGAACAAGATGCGACTCTTGCAGCAGGTGTTCCAGCGACCTGACAGTGTGTGGCAGGAGCTCCCAGGCCTCCTGAGCAGGTCAACAAGGTGTCCACACCGGAAACAAAGCCACACCTCGAAAGCATAAACAGATAACAGGCAGGTGAGATCAGGCAGCCGACTCAGTTTCCAAAACGAAGAAACGCACCCTGGCTATCTGAAGACAATTACAAAAGCGCCCCGTTCGTGTCCTGTCCACAGAAGACATGTCCGTAAAGATCGTCAAAAACGGCTTCAAAGGATTCGCCGAGGTCGGAGACTGCGATGCCAGCCCCTCAAGCTCAGCTCATGGCTTCGCACTCGCGCTCCGCTCGGACACTCGGACGCTCCGCTGAGCCGAAAGCCCCCCATGGTGCCTTCCACAACAGCCCGCCTTGCAAGGTACGCAACACCCAACCCACGAGAGCTTCCTTGCAGACTCTTGCAGACGCAGCACCACCAGTCGCGACAGCCACAGCCACCGGCCCCGAAGCTGGGAGACAATGACGACTGGCGAGAGAATACAGCAGGGAAGACTCGGGTCATCTCTGCAGCAGACACCTGCCACTTGCCGCGAGTGGCTCTGCACTCAAGCATGCAACTCCCTCGAGGCCTGGACATGGGGTCTGACCCGGCGCAAAGCATCTGCATACAGGTCTCCGATAGGTCTTCGCACCCGCATCAGCGTGCCAGTGCTGTCCTGGGGCCCGGATGGTCTTCTGGTGGAAATGGATGCAACGACCCGAAACGAAGGGAAACCACGGCCCGCACGAGGCTGATCAGACGCGGAACTTGCGCGGAGCCTGTGCCCGGAAACTCCTGGCGTTCAGCCACTTCTGAGATTCTGGCAACCTTGCCCGTACCAGCAACACAAATGCTGCTGCTCGGCAGCCGATACAGAAATTGTCTGCCATGCTGCTATGATATACACAGCCTTTCCACCGTGAGACAGTCATCCTGCATGCTGATCAGGATCAAAATCACCACCGATCGCGCAGCCGCGCGACACATTCTGCTGAAGGCCGGGCACATGCTGCAGAAGGCACGGGCGTTGATTTCATGTCTCATTTCTTGGTATTTACCTAGCACAGGAATCTGTACTATCTGCATTATTCATGTCACAGGCATTGAGAAGGCGACCAAAGAGCTGTCAACTGGACGGATAAGCCCTATGAGCCCACTGCTGCTGGTCCACGATGGTCACGGTTGCACTTCCAACTCGGACAAGCTTCTCACAAGCCGGCAGCAAGCTGTTGTCAGCGCGTCTCCATTGCGCTATGAGGCTACAGCGATTTTCTTTTGCTTTACACCGAGCATTGCACTGAAAGGCACAGAGAATGATCTCAGACCTTCTCGAGCATCTCGAGGGCCTCCTGGAGGTCCGCCACCTGCGCGCGGACGAAAGGCGAAAGACAGCGGGGATCAGCCTAGATCTCGCGATTTAGAGCTGCAAACGAGCGGGCGAGTGGGGCA